ATTGTTGTATTTTATGTACATTCAATTTAATACAGCAAGGCTAGATATCGAAGTTTGAATCTCTATGTTGCATTAATGTTCTTCCATTGGTAAAGAACAACACTGGTATGGTACTTTATAAGGATTCCAGAAATAATCCACCTGTCTGAATAATGGTCCTTCAATAATTTATACCACATACAAGAGAAATAGGCTGGTATTTAGTTACAAGTCTTAGCTCACCAGACATAGAGGGGGAAGAGAACATTATCTTTGCACGAGCAGTAGATACAGGTGTCATTATAGGGGCACTTTAGTACACTTTAACATCTGATACTTTAAACTATGAATTCCTTAACTGGTAAGTAATTTAAAAAACATTTAAAATATTAAAAAAATAGTTTATGAACTACATAAGGGCATGAAATTAATATACACTTTATATAAAGTATCTTTTCTAATATTTTTTAAATGTGAAAAATTAATCTGTTTGCATATACAGTATGTTAATCCAGTCTGGGTTTACTTGACTGCGTGATTAACCTGATTACATGATTGGTTGAACATGTATGCTTCCGGAATGCGCTCTGGGTTGCACACAGCCCCCACTTAGAAGGACAGTAACCTTACTAATAATGAATGAATGAATGAATGAATGGAAAATTAAATATTGACTGTACCAGCACTGTAATGCAAATTAGTTATACATAATTGTAGGTTTCAGTAAGAATAATTGAACACAATGCTATAAGATGGCTTTTCCGCACTATACCATATAGCTATAGTGGCTAATATAATTAAAACACATTTTAAAAATTGCTGCAAGTAACCAGCTTGTATCTTGTTACAGCTTCTCTCCTAGCAAGTGGGTATTCATTACTAGGGGGAGTGAGGTAATGACTTTTTCTGTTCTATAGGAGCTAGAGAAGGCCTTCACACAGATCCAGAAACTACACAATGAAATGGTCTTCGTACACGGTTATCCAAACAACACAGATGAACAAATTACAAGTATTCCAGCATTTGAAATGCCTGCTAAAGGTAGCCTCAATTATTTATTCACATTGTTTTACAACCATAGAATGAAATCAAATTGTTAATTACTTTAAGGTTTCTAGAAATAAAGTAAGGATGTAGACTGGATACCAGAAGCCAAATTTAGACCCTTGTCAAGTGCTGAGTTATTGTTTTCAGAGTTTATAGTGTTGAATATTTTAAAACACATTATTCACTGTTCTACAAATCTTGTTTACAGAGAAAAGTACAGAGGGGCATCACTGTCACCAGATTTATTTTAAAATGCTTTTTAAGGGAGAAATATACAAGAAGCGATGCACTACAAAAATGAGAAAAAAAAATCAGATAGAGAATCTAAAATGAACTGAATCTTACATATGAAATATTTATAGTTTATATAATCTGATAATAATACCAGTAGCTTTAAAGGACCTTAAAATACATTTTAATGTTACTGGCTTGTAATAATGCATTACAAATAAATTAGAAAACAAAGTGAAGTGGGACATGTACAGTATATATCTCACTTATCCAGCATCAAAGTATCACCAATTAAGCACATTGTGAGAGGTGTTGCTGGGGTCTGTTAATTTAGCCTCAAACAAAAGTTACACTAAGATGCCATAAAGCTGACTTGCTTTAGCAGCCCCAGTCGCTTAACTCTACATAATAAAAGATAGGAACAACACCCACAAACAGGATAAACCAGACCAATGTCTGCTGCATATCAAAGGACAGAACCAAGAGCAAGACAAGCACTCAGACTGTGAAACAAACTTTCTTCTGATTCTATATAAAAGCTGGGAAACCCTTGCAGTTTGTCTGTGGGGCAGACCCGGCGTGCGTTGTTGAACTTATTGAGCTCAATAAAACTGAATCTGCACAAGACTGTGTCCTGCTCCTCTGATGAAGAATTTCCCACAACACAAAGGATGTTGCATATTTTCATATTTGCACTGGCATTCTTATTTAGATGTTTTATGGCATTGTCTTTCCTGCCTCCGTGACATATATTTACTGTATAAACACACAAACAGGAGAAACCTGTATAGAGTGGACAGAACTGTATCTGCTTAACCTAGATGGATATTTCTCCAGAAGTAGTTAACTTCTTTCAAGTGCTGCTATTTGTATCTTTACCCATTTTATTTTTAAATAGTTTTCAATCTAGTTATAGGAAACTTAGTTTTTCCTCCTGATGTCAACATGTCCAAAGAATGGAATGTGTAACTTGAAAAGAATATTTAATCAACCATCCAGTATCCAGACTGGAAGAAAAGAAGCGAGGCCAAAATCAAAAGAAAACTCTGTCTGCCCTGGTGAATCCTCAGGAGAAAAGGGGAAAAGAAAAAGAAAATAAAAAGCAGCAAAAACACGGCCTCAATGCTTTCTTCACAATCCCCTCCAGGACTGTTGGTGAAATGTTCTTTCCCCTTGCGGGGGTATCAGGACTAGAGTTCTGCTTGCTTGTCACTCTAGGGAAGTGCTCAGTGTGTTCTTAATAGGCCTCCACAGCTGCAGCTTGTCCTAAATTAGCCAGGACAGTTGTGGTTGCTAAGGCAACCCATCACCCTTAATACAGGGCTCCGCCTCCACACTGAACACACCCTCATGTAATGCCATAGTGTGGATGTTCAAAATTGTCAGATGCTTTTCACCATACAAATAAAATGGTAGATAAAAAATATTAGTAATGAGACTACTAAAATAAAAAAAGCAGTTGTCAAAATGACCACCATAATGGGTTTTTGAGATTGTGAAGAGTGTGAACAGACAAACATTGCAACAAAACTCTTAATTTTTATATTGCTTTTAAAGAACATAAACTTTAAACCATATTCAAAATAAAAGGAAGTACTACCATCCAGGTCAAAAGATGTTCCAAAGGTAAAAGATGTGTGCATGGAATCTTAGACATTCAACACTAATGAACTTTACTTTTATTTAGCAGTGTAAATAATCCCTAGCAGTTTTTTTCAATTGCAATTAGTACTGTATATTATTGTTTATAGCATAACTAGAATTTGAAAAACAAATGCAATTAATTTTTTTCTAGAAATATACACCATTTAAAGATTAAAATGGACACAATCTTATGTGATGAACTAGAGTTGCCACTTATTTGTAATCTTACTTTTGCTTAAAGTAAAATACTTCAGATGGATAATTACTTATTATTTGTTCTTCACAGGGTAAATGAAAAACTGAAGCTGGTGTATGGTACTACTAAAAATATGGCATGTGTAATTCATTTCACTTCAGAACATGTTTTCTAAAATATTGTTTAATTCAGTGCTACGTTTTTGTCAAGTGAAAAATATTAGACCCGAGGCATAAATATATATTTTATCAACCTTTATAAATTCCTTGTTTTTTGTGATAATATGATTGTTGTAGTATGCCATTTGAAAACATAATCATTTATGGCTAATTCTATATATTTTCTTAACACTTTCACAGTTGAAAGTGTACATTTTATTTCTAACAAGCATGTAATCTAACCTAAAAAGTATTGTTAAATTTAAAAAGTTCAATGATTCCCAAATATAGTAAAACTTAGAATACATAAAGCAGAGCAAGAAATAAAATGCTGAAAAAATAAAATGTGTATGTGTAATTACTTTAATTACTTCAGTTAAAACTCAAAGCCAGTTTCTGAAGGCATTTATTTCTTGGGTTTACATGAAACTTGTTCAGTATTAAACAGTTGTTGCAATAGGTAGGATAGCAATAGCTTTATCAACTGTGTCAATAAATATTTACAGTATTCATCTGCTACAGTACTGCATATGATGCACCAATCATTGTCTCTAAAAATATGATTTTACCCGTTCATGCATATTTCTAGGAATGTATAAGTTCCCATATTGTTTTCCATTTCTATCAAAATTGGTTAAAATGAACACCTTTAATGTACCATCTAGCACACAAAATGCCTTCCTTATGTACACATACAGTACGTTTAAGGATTGTTGAAATCAAGAAGAAATCCAGTGTGCTGCTTCAGGAATCCAGGGCACTTGTTTTTCTCTGTATCACTTTCCTAAAAGAAATTAATTGATATTTGAAGTTCAATTCAGAATACAAAAATATTTTTACAAACTCTGGCTGCTCCATTTAAAGTTGTTCTAGATTTTCTTCCTAATCTTCTACACTCTTGCTGAAATTTAAAGATTCATATAATGTCTTCATATTACTGTATGCATAATATAATGTACCATATTTGTGTGAAGTAATCAACAAACACCCAAATAAGTGAAGCATGAATTCACCATGCTTATACCTTATCCATGAGCAACATCACTATTGTTAGTAATTATTATGAATCTTCTTTTGGACTTCAAAAATTTAACAGAATATAATAAAATCATTTTCTGGTAGGGCTTCCAGTTCTGTGCACAGCGCTCTAAAGGTAATGTCAGTTCACTGAAAATTCACCAAAAGAAACAAGTTGAAACTTCATGGAAGTGCTTTTAAAATGAGTTTTACACCGGTACTCCTTTTATTCAATGGGTTGTGGGACTAGGTAACAAGCTACCCAGACATATCATCAAACCTAGAACCCTAGCTTCTTTTAAGAAAGGTTCTGGATGAGATCCTTGATTTAGTTTTTTAGTATCAAACAAACTAGACATGTAGAATGGCATCCTCTATTTGTAACCTTTCTTATGTGGGCCTTCTCAAGTAAATGGACACAAAATGAGCTGTGTAATGTGTTGAAGGAAACATTGCAGTAACATGGCAGTCACATTAAAATGGAAAAGAAGAAAAACCTTTAAAGGGTTTAGAGAGACAGGAAATGGGAAACAAGTTGAAAATGAGAAGTCAGACAACTAGTGTTCTTCTTTGATTCACTCCTTGAAGCCATGAATAAGGGAACTACTGTTCAACAATTAAAATGTATAGTTTACTATACACCTCAATATACAATGGAACATGACTAACAATACAACAAAGAAGAATAAAAGAAAAGAATAAGAGTAAAACAAACATTCACAAGAATGCAAAGGAAGTATGTAACATTTATTATGCATTAGTTTTATTATTACATAGTATATTTACAATATGGACAAACATCAACAGATACCAATTTGAAAAAACATCTACAAGGCCAGCACCTATTAAATCATTAGAATATTCTCATTCGTATATTCATATTTGTATAACGGATCTTTAGTGTGTACAAAGCAACAATTCTCTTTTAGGTAATAAAAATAGTCCTTCAAGTTGACAACCTCAAACAGAAAGGGGAGCATTTGCCATTCTTCAGTGGAAAAGCTGTGATATTACAGTAAACTACAGATGAAGGTGCTTGGTCCAGAGCTTAGCTAAAGAAGGCATTAATTACTAGTTGCTCTTTTTTTTTCCTTTTTAGTTGTTGTCTACCAAGCGGTCATTGTCTATAGGACTCACAGCTTTAACAAAGGTATTGTGTCCATGTAAATCCATACAAAAGAGAGAAGGCAACACATACATTTTACTTTAAAGTGCTGTTTACCAGCATGTCAATTACTCCCCCTTTACTTTTAATACTGAAATTGTAAGGAAACAACCAATCTGGACATATTCATATACTTTTATTTTCCATCTCTCTCTTCATAGCCTAAATATATCTGCACACTTAATGCTACTACACAAGAGTTTTAGAGAACTGCAAATGCTCTTTAAATTTCCACTTATTCAAGTATTGACATAAAGTTGTTTCTTCTTTCTGCAATATTATACTGTTTGCACACTTTTGTACAGATAGAAAAGGCTCACAGTGAGATGGTACTCCAAAAGGTAAGGCCACAGAGGCACAAAAGGCCATATATGTTTTTCTTAGTTTGTGGAACATTTCTATTCTCTAACAGTCATGATACAGTATATTGTATAAGAAAACTTCCAAATAATTAGTGCAAAGACTATGTAAACAGTCTTAAATATTTCAACATGTGAAATTAAATTCAACTGCCTTTGAAATGTCTGGAAACAAAAATGAAGTGTCCCAAGTTTAAAACATTGTAAAGATGAAACTGTAAAACTTCCAGAAGGCATCTGTGATAAAAGTTCAATGTTTTTGATGTTCTAGTTGATACACATTAATTTTTGCTTCAATAATCTAATTTTTCCTGATGACACCATGGAACATGATAAGGTGGGGCAAACAGAAGCTCAAAGGATTTTCTCAATATTTCCCCATTTAAAGATTTCAGACTGTTTGATCTGAATCAGAAACAGGAGGAACTTCTTAAAGTCTTATTGCAATGTGACTACCTATATTTTCCTGAAAAAACAACTTGTAATAATATATTTAACCAATTTAAGAATGCTAATTGATGATCACTGCTGATATGCATCAAATAATGCAATTAATTTACATAATTTCTTGGAGGCTTTAAATATTAGATTAATGCAGTGTAACTCTTCAATTGGGCAAAGTCATCAGTCACTTTACAACAGTAAATAAAGACTGACTCATTTGGTAAGTGAATAAAAATGATTTTTATAAGAATATTGCATTTGTTTTACTGTTAGGACTGATATGTACTGCTCTTTTGCCTTAAAAGGCAAATTAATATCTATGTGCGTAGGGTGCACTGATGTATTTGTCAGGCTTGAGAGGAATCCCCACAGACTGAATTGCAGAGTGAATTTAAACTACACTGAGTAAGCAATGCTGAACTGGATTTCAGCATGGTGACATTTTTGCAGTTAAAAAGGCAACAATTCAAAGCTGTATTTTATTTGTGGTTTCATCTGTAGTATAACTATGTCTGTTTTGAATTTTGTTCCATCTTTTATTTTTCACTAGAAGATTAGAAAAGCATTAATGAAAAAAGGAAATGGGACTGTAAAGTATCAAGTGTAACTCATTCAGAAAAATTGTAGTTTTTGTGCCTTTATTATAACCAGTTATCTTAGTCAATATCATCCCCAACATCTGACTTATTGCTACATCTTTGATCTTGTTCTTCTTTTGTTATACTGTATGTGATAATCAAACTCAATCCTTTTACAATGTCACTTATGCCACCTTACAAGTTGCTGTGGCTGTGATGGATGAGACACCACCAGTGTCCGATAATAGCTTTTCACAGTCACTCCAGTTTCACAGCCACACAGAGCCACTCTTCAGAAAGTGGAGAGCTCCACAATGCCAAAAGACTGGGCACCCTGCTTCTGGAGAACTCACGACTACCCAGGTCTCAAGTGGATTATTTCACATTAACAGGCTAAAATGACCTTTCAATTAAATACTGTATACACACATTTGACATAGCTGAGAAAACACTGAACAGGTGTCATTCACGAAAAGGATCTGGTCTTTCAAACAAGCACCTTCTAACTTGCACGTAAAAATTTGATGACTGTACTGACTTCTGTCTGAACCTGTCCTTTTCATCCAATTTGTCAAAGATGTCACTCACATTTCAGAAAACAAACTGCTTTTTAGGTGGCTTAACTGAAACAGTACTTATATAAAAAAAATACTAATTATATTAACAGTAATTATATTTAAAATGGTAACTATAGTCAACAAGGTCTTATGTTTTACAGTATGTGGTAGGCAGTTTGTTGATGGGCTAGGCAATCCATTCTCCATCATAGCTTGCAATTTTACTTTTATGTTTAAATTGCCTGTGAATATCAAGACAAGGATACTCGTGAATTTAATGAAAACAAATAAGACCTAATTTTGTTATCAAATGAAATCCTTTAGCACTGCACAAGACATTATCTTCATCAACAGCAAGCAGTCTGAATCTTAAATTGAACTGGGAAAATATGAGTACCAATAAACACTTCTTTATGACTTTTTCTGCATTTAAAAATAGAAAAAGCACATGGTTGAGATTTTCTTTGAACAATCATTGAGAAGATTCAGATTTCATGGCTAAATTGTATCAAATTCATAGCTAGGCCTGGTCTCTCTCTGAGAGAGAATAGCAATAGGCATCTGAATATACCTATTGTAGAAGCAAGTGCTACCGTGGAGATTACTTGAGGTATGGAAACTTACCTCTTGTGGTATTGTCTGAATGTCAGAATGCGCAGAGAAGACCAAGCAAAGTAAAACAATGTTCACCTGGTATTGGAAAAATTACACACAACTTTTTCGATATGAAACCTTAATTACCTCAATGTCACTTAATACTGAAACTGACGAGAACAAGTAAAACTGGTGTCAATATTCAGTGTACACAATTAATGAGGCAGTCATCAACATGTTGCCTGCATCATTTCTGAACGACGATCAGAAAATAATTTAGCAAAATAGTGGAATTTTCTTGCATGAGAAAAGATTTATACCAATCACTAAAAGATTTTTAGGTTATGTTTTTTTAAATTATTTCTCCGCAGTTCAAATTGAGACTAACATTTGAGAAAAATCTGAAAGTAATCAAGGTAATGATGGTAAGATGTTTAGTTAATTGTTTTGCCATTACTCCAAACTGATAGTGATAAAGGTTTTCTTGTTTCATTTTTTTTTTCAATTTATATGCACTATATTTTCATTATCTTGGAATATTTTGGAGAAGGTATGATTTTAATAATAGTTGAAAGTTAAAATGTGTAAAATTCACAAAAATGTGTTTAATTATTTTAGTTAAAAATAGTTTCTTCTTTTGTCTTTGATTATATTAGCATAACAGAGATATGCTGAAAACATGGAAGTAATTCCTTCAGGAATTTTCTTAAATTGTTTTTTACAAACTTTTATTGTAAGTAGGACTCAGCATAATAAAATATTAAAATACCAATCAGAAATATCCTCTGATCACCTCTCCTTTTGAATATTAAAATATTACATCTTTATGTCTTGTTTAAGTGTAAAATTCAGATTACACACACTGCTTTATATGACTTATTCTCGTATTCCTAAAACTACTTTTGAAAAAATGTGCTTGGTATACAAAATATATGGATGTAAAAAACAGAAAAAAAAATAAAACTAAAGGAAAACAAAAAGCAACTTACTCAGGATGTATGCCTTATTCTTCATATATCAATACATTCACAGCATAAACAGAGCAGTTTAATTATTCATTTACCTAAAACTGGTATATAAAATACAAAAAGCAACCATAAATTAAAGAACTTGGGACACAATTCAACAAAAAACATGAACATATTAAGAAAGTAATTTTACACAAACACGTACACACTTTTTTGACTGAAACTGCAACTCCAAATTGACTCAGATGAGCTTTTGAAGCACTGCATACTCGCAACGACATTAGAAATACAATAACCTAACCTAAATTGAAAGTTTAATGTACTTACTTTAGAATGTGAAGAGCTTGAAATGCTTCTGTCTAGTTCTTTTATCTTTACCTAATCTGCAGAGGAAATAAAAACTAGAGATAGGTACTAACAAATGCCATGGAAGAAGTCAGATTGTTGCTTATCTTTTATTAACTGAATGGTTCAGCTGACAACACTACTTCCATGATTCTGGGGTGTATTCCTCTGAAAGTGTAATGTTAACTTTGGAATGTCACCTGTAAAGGCATAGTAAAACTTTAAACATGAAGTGAGATAGCTTATGTGTAATATTGTGGTGTCTACGGTATAATGCAGCTTCTACAATTGAAAAAGGAAAGTAAACGTGTTTTCTCACATTTTTAGGGTGAACAGTAGAATGCTAATATATGGGTCATTCAAAATGTCAGTTTTTGTCTTGAAATTGAACTTACTGTTCAAGTCTGGTTGGCTCCCAACATAAGCATACAGTATGTGTGAACATCATGCACAGAGATGGACTTGTGTACGTGACAGGTGTATTTGGGTGCCTTTGTGAACAAATTAAGGCCTTAGTATTAAAAGGTAAAAGAAAATAATAGAACAAATATGTTTAGTCTTGTGTTTGACAAAAATATTAATTTGCATTAGTTTAATAGTAATAAAGAAGAAATTTGGTTTTTATTTTATTTACCTGATATTCAGCAGTAAAGTAGTTTCATGTTATAAAGTGTTATTTAAAAAAATTATAATATTAACCTCATTTTCAAGAATAGATTCAACATTCATAACACCTCACCAATTAAGTTCTGCCACAACAAATCAGGTTTTCCACAGGAAAGACAAAGGTGTTTCCAAAAAAAACTATTTTAAGTGACTTTTAGATATGGACTTTGGCCTCCCAGATCACTTAAGTTTTTTTTTTTTAACTTCCATTTATTTCCCTTTAAAATACCAACTTTGTTATCTATGTTGGTACTGTCACTCGCATAGAATCTATGCATCAGCTGGCTAAGTGACTGTAAACTATTCTATTTTACCTTCTTATCATGTTTAATGTGGCCATTCCTTTTGTGTTTTCCATTAGGTATACCATTATAACAATGTCCATTGGCCTTGACTGCTGTGGAGGTGGAATGAATCCTTGTAGCAATCAGTCTCACTATCCGATAGACTGCATAGAAGATTACCAGGAGTGCTACTATCAGTACACCAGCTACATCTAGCAAGAAGTACTGATATGAAGGAATGTCATAAACTGAAGTACGTAGGTGATCAGCTCCATCGTGACGAAGAATGTAACTGATCCAGTAGACAGCTCGACTCACAGGGTGTCCAGGCTGATCTTTGTGTATGTTAGATAGCAGCTGTGCACGTTGTCTGTACCTAGGAATTAAAGAATAAGACCGTGTATAACTGCCACTTAGTGAAAATGTCAACTAGATCAAACTGTCAAATATGAATTAGAAATACAGTACTATATATTACTCTTCAATATAGTTTAGTGGTTCACCATTATTCACATTTGTATAAATAGTCTGCTGCCATTTAAATGCAACTGTTAAAAGAAGTAACATATCCATCCTACTGCATATGAACAGCACTCACTCTAACAAATAGCTTATATTCATTAAAAAATTCAGTAAAACAGTTGGTGGCTTGTTTTAAATGATCGTGAAATGTTCTCTTCAGTCCCACTTCAGTTTTACTTACAGTAAAACTACAGCACTATATAGCTTTACATTAATAACTAATCTGCACAAATAAAAGAAGAACTTTGTGCCTTTCAAAATTCCTTCCCACTTCAATTACCGTACAGTATATAGTTCATCTGCTGATGTTGAAGTAAAACATTCCCTTGTTTAAATACACGTTTTGTGAACCGAAATGCTTTGTCTTCAGTGAATATGCATTTTTTCTGCACATTAAAATTTCAATATATGTGTATGTACAATACCTCATTTTAATATATGTATACAGTATACACCTTAATTCAAACACAATGTTTGTGCTTTGTTACCCACTTTGTTATATATACATTGCATTCACCACAAGAGGGCATCAAAAGACCTGTTATACAAAAAAAATCCCACTCGGGTTTCTTCTCAATGAGACGTGAACTAGCAATGAATGCTAGAATGGAGTACAAAAGTACAAAGTAAGCTATTTTATCACATGAATCTTAAAAAGTTTTAAAACTTAAAAAATGTATTATGTATTAAAAATACATGCCATATTAAATATATTAAATTATGAATGTAAATTATTTATGTATTAAAATGTCTTAAATTATCTATATTCTGTATATAATGTATTTTTAAAAGTCTATTTTAATACATAAACCAAACTCTAAACTTATTCCATACCTGTTATCTTTTATCACTTTAACAATGGCTTCATACAGATCATCTTCTGCCATCTTCTTCCATTCTAGCATAATGCCCATTCCTTTCGCCTGCACTCTGGTCATTGTATCATAGTGATCACCAAATAATGGGATTCCTACTACTGGAATACCATGGTACATTGCTTCATAAATACTATTCAATCCTCCATGACTAAGAAATGCTCTAATGTTTGTGTGACCTGAAAGATAAAAGTGTAAATCAACACATAACTCACACAACAAAAGTTAAAAGAAAACAATCAGGTGTAATACATTGCTACAGAATAAAGATGATTTAATATTTGAACCTCTTCTGGCAACAAAAAACAATATGAATAACATCTGTTGGAAAATAATTGTTGAAAATAATTATTTTTGATACTACAGCATACTGTATTTCAAGTCAGTTACTCTCACTAGTAACCTGTTTATAAAGATTGGTAACACCTGCATGTTATTGATGAATTAAGCATTTTTTTTCCAATTGTCAAAACTCTGATCCTTGAAGGCTAAATGGTGCTCCGATTTGTGTCCTATTACTAAAATACTGTATTTAAAAAATGACCTAGTTGATCAGTCAAAATTACACTGTTCCAAGTCTTTAGAAACTGATTTAGTAGTGAACTACTGTATATAATACATGCTGGATTGGGACTCTGCAGGGCTAGGGTTTGAGTTTTCTGTGCAAAAAAGAAATTGTTTCATTGTTAATGAAATTTTATTGAGTTATTTGCCAGAGCATACTGTAGCAAAAACAGCATGGCGGTGCAAAATAATTTGATGCCTGAAACTACCACATGGAAAAGACAATTATAACTTCAAGGTGGAAACAGTAGCAACTGACACCATGCAGACACCAGGGTCAGTTTGTCAATGTAATACTCCGCATAACAAGTCCTTTCTATAAATATGAGCTTTTTTGTTATGAACTGCCATAATGAACTACAGTATATTCCATGCATACCAGGGATAGTTAGCTATTAACAGAGGATGACTTAATAAGTGATGTATTTTTCATTAACAGATTAAACACTACTACTTCTGTGACTTCAAGCTAGAAGAATGTATTTTCGTGACAGCAGTGGTCTTTACAAAAAGCGAAAAAACATGAATATCACTAGTTCTAAAGAATAAATGATTATAGAATCTTTGTGGTAACTTTAATTTTGCCAAGAGTTAAATTATAAAATGATTATGCAAGGCATTTACCTTTTCATTTATTTATATTAAATGTATACATGTCATAGTATGATATTAGATGATTTAGCAAATTTGCCAATGTATGTTTTTTAAATTAGCACAATCAAAGCTATAAATCAAAATGGTTATTTTTACTTCTAAAATACAAATAAAACTATTTTTGTAGCGACAGAGAGGAAAATTAGAAAATATTATTTTAATTTCAGTTCCACTCATGAAAAACAACACTTGAACACACTGTTAAAATGTCAATGCAGTAATGTCAGATGAGATATTATTTGGAAGTTAAATGTGCATAAGCATTTCTCAAAAGATGATCTTTACAAATCACAATAAAAAGTTGTATTTCTATTAGGCAAGCACTTTTGGTGTACTTTTTGTAACCTAAGCTCTGATTTAAAAATGTTTACTTACCAAGAAGATCATTTTGTGGCATCCATTCCACAAGTTTAGTATTGTTTCCCAAATTACTTGGTGGAGTTCCTGAAAACCTGAAAATAAATAATTGTATACTAAAAATATATACACTGTGCTTATATTAAATCCATAACTGTATTTGTAAAATACCCAGACAAAAAGTAATCATGAGAGAAGCTTTTACTGAGGCTTTGTGCAATACAATACAAAAATAAAACTGATTTCTGTCCAATTTACTGTATAGGCATACAACAAATTAATACAACCGTATAGGAAATTATACTTCCACATATAAACATTCAGCAACAAGTGAATCAATTAAAAACTCACACATTTTTTTTTGCAATCAGGTCTCCAAAGAGGCCACTCTCCTAAATCACAGACACTAAATCATGTCTACATTAATGTAAAATGTCCAAGATAAAAAAAATGAGAAAAAAAGGACGCGACAGCTCCAATCTAATGTGTTTTATCTGTGTTTATACAGTAAGAGACACTACAGAATTCATTTGTTGCTATGTAAAACGTATAAGCATAACCGATAAAATCTGTATCTGAAATAAAAAAACAAATTCATAATAAACTTCTTTTATATTTGTATGTCAAATTCTACATTATGTTTTGTTGCAAAATAATCACAACAATCAAATACAATAACATTGATCCAAATACAGGCAACTGGCAACATTAACAAATTCAGGCTAGTTAATAATTAAGATGAACTTTAAAACAGAGGACTGTTTCTACAATCTACAATCCTAGGTTGGCCTCAAAGAGGTGTCAGCTGTTTCAGTATATAACCATGGAAACGTTTTGTGAACAGGTACACTGCAAATAATCATTTATATGTCCATGGTAAAACCATATTTGTAGTGAAGATATTTTTACACACAGACTGACACAGATGCATATATTCTTACAGTATTTACCTGTAGCAGTATTTGTTTTTTGCTTGTAATAAGTGCTTTCTTCTTTACACTCTTGAGAGATAGATACAGTAAATGCTGTGACTGCAGACCAAAGTGTCACATACAGTATATCACCATACTGTATATCAACAAAACATTTTAAATAACATTTAAACAATAACATTTAGTAATTCTATAGTAAATAAATCAGATGGAAAACTACTAAAAATTATTTCTATAATAAATAAGATAGTAAAATGAAAAAAAAACAGAGTTTGAAGAAGTCTGGTGAAAACACATCCAAAAAGATTCACAGCTGTACTTGCGGTCAAAGGCTCCTCCACTAAATATAGACTTGGGGGGGGGGGATACTTACGTAATCAACATATTTTAATTATAGATTTTTTATGCACTTTTTGCTACCATTTAACCCCTTTCATGCATAAAACTGTTTGGTTCGATCTTTAAAATTTTGTTAAAATATTCACTTTAAAATTGTGTATAAATCATCTGAAATACAATACAATTGGACAGCATTGGAAGGGGCTTGAATAGTTTTGCAAAGTACTCAATACAACTTAAACTCAAAGTAAAACAGTTCCAATAATAATGCAAAAAATTGTTAAATTAAAAATGAACCTGTCATTTTAGAAACTTCACTAATGCAGATTTAGTGCTAAAATGATGGAAAACGTGCTCAGTATGGACAGCCACTCAAGCCATTACTGCACCCAGTCACTAAATTAAATTAAAGTCTTAATGATTAGTCTTATCATTTTTAAATGTTGAAGATCAACTGACAGTGGCTCCTGACCAACAATGTGGTCTTGTAAAGGGCATTCCGCGCCTAATCGCTGTTTTATTTCAATATTTGCAATACATGATTCACAGCAGTCTTTGTGGCTATGCAACAAAAGATATAGCCAGGCACTCCACCAAAAGCAAAAAAACTAACAGATCCCAGCCTCTAAAGATGCAACTCTACACTGAGCTATCTTTCCCTATTCATTGTGGTCTGTCTCGGAAAGTGTGTAAAACTGTTCTCTTCACAGAAATAAAGATGTCTGGGGGCACCTCAGTCTCACTTTTTTTTAGTTTTTCAGCCTCTGGCTATACATTCCCTAGAAAAAGTGTGTGGATACTCTTCAGGGTGCGCAGTCCCAGATTTATAACTATCACAGAATCAGAAAGGTATATAACTCTACCTAAATATGACAGAATTGGAGGATATTCTCTGATCTAACTTTGTTATTTAAGTGGAAGGTACCAAAAGAGATTATCCCATCAACTTTGACAAATATTACTACCAATACACTTGTCATTTACCACAATGTCCATCCATCCATCCTTCTGTTTACTGTTTAACTGCTTCAAATTCATGATCGTGGGGCTTGTGCCTATTCCCAAAGCAACAGGCACGAAGCAGGGTACACCCTGGACAGGACACCGGACACAGACACATACACCCACACCAGGACCAATGTTCCCAGAAGCATATTTTTGGACTGTAGGAAAAACCAAAGCACGCAGAGGAAACCTATGCAAACATGAGGAGAACATACAAGTCCATGCAGAGAGCACCGCACGGGCGAAATCGAACCAGGACCCCAGCGCTATGAGTCAGCAATACTAACCTCTGCACCACAGTGCCATCTATCAACAGATCCATTGAAAGGAAAAGGTCACTGGATCTTGTGAAAAATCTGGTGTCTTAAATTAGAAGCCTTTAAGTTTCATCTTCAAGTTCTTTTTTTGATTATGCTGATTGGACGCTCATCTTTCAGGTGACAGGACATATCAGATGGCTGAGCTCGGCATGACAGATGCTTACTACTAGTCTTTTCAGGTTATTCAGACATTATTGCACAATCCTAAAAATTATGCAGAAACACATTTGGAAGCCAGAAGAAATCTGTGTTTTGCTTTGCTTGGCAGCTGAAGATCATTTATGGTGGGGAATTAATGCTTGACAGAGTATCTGAAGCACAAAAATGTGTCTTGGTGCTCCAAGGAAATATCTTATTTACTGTCTAAGCCAATTGCTTGGCTGGATTTATTTTCTGGACAGTCTCAATGTGTATACAAAATATACTTCAATTTCTTTAAACAGCATACAGTATGACCTACTGTAGTGAAACAGAACTTCCTCAGCATCTCTATAAATGACTTATTTTAGTAAACTAGAGTGAGCAGGAGGTAGCTGATTCTATACCACTCTAATATTATATTATGCTTATGTTGTTCTACATACAGTATGATGTTCTGATTTATTTTATTATGTACATTAAATAAATCTCTAGTGCCTAATTTTGCTACCACAAACCTCTACCCACTTCATCCCCTGAGGCATAAGGTAATATAACTAACAAATTTACTTGTCAAAGTTCATTGGTAATAAATACATATTGTTTTGAATGAAACATTTGTATTTTATTGAAGCACAAAAATCTGATTATTGTAAAACCGGGAAATCACATCTTGAGCTTGAGTTGAAGGTTATATTGTGATGCATTTTGTTTGGCTCAGTCATAAGAAATGTTTAAACCATCTACTGTACCTACTGACAGTCATGATGAGAATACTTGGCTATATACACAGATGGAAAAAAGAAACACAACGCCTCCTCCTCCAAACTCTGGCACTCCCGTCTGCATGGAACAGGCTGAAGAGTGACTCATCCGTGAAGAGGACCTGATGCCACTGCTGAAAAGTCCATCACAGTCTCTGTCTGGCCCAAACGAGTCATGTGTGACGTCTAGGCAGTATGAGCATAGGGGCTCTGACAGGTTGCCTCGCTCTAAGGCCAGCAGCATGGAGCCTCCCTGTCTTGTCACTGATGCGGGCATTGTGTCTGCCGGCAGTTTCAGCAGCAGTACAGGTGGCAGATCTGAAACGATCTCTCAGATGGACCAGTCTGATGTGTCGGTCCTGCTCTAGTGTGGTCACTCAAGGGCGACTGGATCTTGAATGGTCATCTGTCCTGCCGGTCTGCTGAAACCATCTCTGCAGTCAGGACACAGTGGAGTAGCTTACTCCATAGTGTCTGGCAATGCTGGCACATGACATGCCTGCCTGCAGCATGCCAATGGCCATCTCCCTTGCTTCTGGTGACATTCGAGGCATTATGGAATGCACAGAAAACTGAAAACAGAAAAGTGTGGCCTTTTTTCTACAGTGACCTAAGCTTTGAATTAAGGCCTTTTTAAAGGTGAATTGATCAGGCATTGTTCCACCTGGACCTCGTTGGGTAAAAATGCACCTAACCAGCTTTCGTGGGATTAGCAAGTTGCAATGCCTCACTACACAAGCTGTATTGCTGGTCAGAGGGCTTAAAACAAATTGACAACTTTTTGTGAAAGTACATAAACTATAACTATAGTATTCTCATTCCAGAAAATGTTGTGTTTCTTTTTTCCATCAATATAGATGGTTTCTTCAGATCTATCTTAAGTTGTAATAGAGTCATTTTAAACATACAGTATAATAGTGAGCAAACAAAAAGTAAACTCAGAGCAATGATATTTACTGAAGGAATCTAATCTTCCAAATATGCATCAAATGCTGACTACTGCAAATTTCTTTGCATGTCTGCTTCTATTGATTTTAATGCTATAGGTTTTCCTAGTTCTATGTAGGCAGAAAACTGATACATTGAATCCTTTAAGTCATGTTTTTGTGACTGCAACTGCAAATTCAGGGGATAATTACAATGATGTTTCCTGTTTTTCATTTGTACCACCTGCCGCTGGATAAGACTGAGAATCAATAACAGAAAACCAGCTCTTTGAACATTCTCAGTAACCCAGTTGGAAAGTAATCAAAGACACTCTGTTTCTTTGGACCAATTCTAGTCAGGAATCTAAATGAGAACATTCGGGACTTTATTTATTCAAAAAACACCTGTGTTTAGTCAGTCATCAAATAAATCATCCATGTTTTATTAAAATTACTCAGTAAATCTATCAATAATTACTACGAATGTGTATTTCTTTTGCCTTCCTTTCAAAGCTCAATTGCTTACATTGCGTACATACAGATGCAGCCATTCAAAACGAGCAGGGTATGCTGCGGTACAACGCGGTGGCGTGTCACATCAAACCGCGTCTTAACGTGTACTGTCCAGTCATACCGTATGCAAATTAAATTATGTTAATAGTATCCAGAAT